TATCAACAACCTGTGTTATGCAGATGACACAACCTTGCTTGATGAAACTGAGAACCTGAAGCAATTGTTGCAGAAAGTCAAGGACTGTAGTCTTCAATATGGAAGCTCAAGATGAAGCTCAACATCAAGAAAATAAATATTCTCACCACTGAGCCAAGTGGCAGCATCGTGATAGAGAAGATGTTGAGGTTGTTAACAATTTCTGCTTGCTCAGATCCATAATCAACACTCTTTGCACCAACAGTGAGGAAAGTAAAGACAAGCTGTATTGGAAAATCTGGTGTCAGAATTCAGAGTGCTGAAAATCAGTGATGTCAGGCTAGAGACTAAGGTGAGCTTGATTCAGGTTATGGTCTTCACAATTACTTGCTATGCATTAGAAATCTGGACAATGACTAAAGATGACAGAAGAAGAACTGATGCCTTGGAGTTGTGCTGGAGAAGACTGCCAAGAGAATGCTCTTGGACTGCCAAGAGAACTAGCAAGTCTGTCCTGGTGAGAGTGAAAACAAGTTGGCCCTTTGAGATAACAACTTTGAAACTCTGTTTCATGTACTCTGAGCATGCTGTCAGGAGGAACCAGCCCTTGGAAAACATCATGCTTGGAAGGGTGGAGGATCAGTGCAGGAGAGGAAGACCCTGGATGAGATGGACTGAGACAGGTGTGTCAGAGACTGTGAACTGGCTCAGAATAGGACACAGTTCAGAGCTATTTTTCATAGGGTTGCAATGAGTCACAGATGACTCAATGGCACAAAACAACATTCCTTATAATGAGGTATCATGCTTGGAAAGTTTCAGGGCCAGCAAAGAAGGGGAAGGCCATCAATGATTTCATTCAAGTGACTTCAGCCATGGGCTCAAGCATGTCAGAGATGATGAGTATGGCAAGGATAGGATGGGGTTCAGATCTGCTGTTTATAGAGTTGCTATGGGTCATACTTAATGGCCCCTAACAAAACACCAATAACAATCTGTATCTGAGTATATGAACTATAAATGCAAGTAATTGGAAAAGCTCAAGCAATGCAGATTCAAAGATTCAAGTGTAACTTAGAATAAAAAACCAATTTGGTTTGTAAACTTTTACTAAGTCACAATTGAAAAAAAACAAACGACTCAGATATAACTTACTCTGCCACGTTCAACTTGTGTTGTCAACATCACAACCATGGAGGAACCTTGTTCCCAAGTCATTTGCCAAAAATCTGTACAAGTGTGTGGTAATGGTCCTTGACAAGCAATGTACTGATTTATAATGCTGGAAGAAGGAATTTCCATCTAAAGAGAAAAGGACATAAAGATGATATTTTACATTTGTCTACGATCAGGAATGTGAAAATCATATACTTACTACATGATTAACCATTGTATACAACAAAATAAAACTTCAAATTCAGCTAAACAAATGTTATCAACAGTACCATATTTTATACGTAGAGCAAGCTTTTTGATACTGCATCATATACATATTTATTTTGCAATTAGTTGAAATAGACCTAAATAATTTCCCCAAACACAATTTTAAAAACAGCTTCACCACAAGGAATAAACAAATAAACCAAAACTCAGCTTTATCCTGTCTCAGTCAGGCAGAGGTATGTTACAGAAATACATATTTACCTGGAAATAGTTTACCGGCAAAATTTGTGAGAAGCAAGCATTCTTCCATATGTTTTAGTTTATTTTAAATATATAAAATAATTTTCGGGATTCCAAGATGGTGGCAGCAGAGAGTGCAGTGTGAAGAGCCAGAAGAACAGCAAGCTGCATAGACGCGGGCTACTAGAGAGTCCCTCACAACACACAGAGACTGACCAACACGGTGAGATGTGGAAAGTAGGAATCTGAATCAGAACTTTTGTTGCAACAATTAGTTTAGGAGCTACAGGGACAAAAAACCTGGCCATAGCTGGAAGCCACTAGTAGAGCTGCTGTGGGACTCACCTGACAGGAGAAAGGCTAGTGGGAAATTGGCTGAATTCTCCTAAGCCACACTAAGACCCAGTGGGTCTGCTGCGTGATGTAGACAGTAGGAATTTGAATCAGAACTTGTGTTGGAACAATTCGTTTTGGAGCTACAGGAACATAAATCTGCACAACGGATCATGCTTCAGACTCAGCCATAGCTGGAAGCCACCAACCGACCTGCTGTGGGACTGATCGGGCAGGAGAAAGGTTGGTGGGATACTGGCTGAGTTCTTTTAAGCCCCACTAAGACCCAGTAGGTCTGTTGGAAGATGACTGAAATTTTCTAGGACCCTGCTGACTGCCCATGATAGGGTGGTCAGTAGGCTCCTAACTGGGTATTTGTGGGCACCACCAATTGCCTGGGAGAGCAGCCAAGAGCAGGCCCCTTGGTGGGAAATTGGATGAGTTCTCTTGGGCCACACTGACAGCCCAGGAACGAGCAGGCCAGAGGGAATTTGACTGAACTTTTGTGGACACTGCAGACTGGCCAGAGGTGAGTGGGTTGGTAGGAAATTGACTGAGTCTTTCTGGGTCCTGCTGTACCCAGAACCCTGCTTGGGCAGGGGCTGCTGGGTGAAGGCACCTGGGTAAGTCCCGCTGGGCAGGGTCCAGTGAGTGAGAACCACTGGGTGGGAGATAGACAGCTGGAATTGGAGTAGGGACCCCCATCGTGAGCACCCCTGGATAGCTGAGGTCTGAGTGAGGCCCCCGAAGTACCTGCCTTTGTGGTTGCCCCATCCCCCTGCATGCCCCAACCCATTTGGCTCCACACCTGTGCCTACACATCCAGACAATCAACTTGCCTTTAATCCGGGGCACCCTGATCTGACTTACCTACAAGAGGCTGCTCTCACAGGCTCTGAACTGACCTTTCCCTTGAGTCAGAATTTCAGAGAAAACCACAAGTGGGGTAGCTGCCCAGCTGATTTCTAGAGCATTGATTTCAGATCAAGAACATATCAATGTCTCAATGAAAGCAAACTATCCAACACACTACACAAGCACAAAGCAAGATGTCACCACAAAAGGATGACACAGTATCAATGGATTTCCTGAAGCCAGAAAGTCTGATGGAACTTTCTGACACACAGTTTAAAAGAACAATGATCGAATATTTTCAATGGATGAAAGACGAAGAATTACAAGATACTACAAGCAAAAACCAGGAGGAGCTAAAAAAAAAAATCTAGAACAATGCAGATAAAACAAACAAGACATTAGAGCCTCTGGAAAAACAACAAACCACAATCCAAAATATGAGGTCCAATGTTTCGGAGGCTGTCAACATGATGGAGGAACACATGAGCAGAGTTGAAGAGATGGAACACAGAACCAGTGAAACAGAAGATAGAACTGTCACCACTGATCTGTTAGAGCAAAAAGCAGAATCAAAAAGGAAGGAAAAAGAAGAAATCCTAACAATAATGTGGGCACCATCAAGGGAAATAACATGTATATCCTCGGAATTTCAGAACAGGAAGCAGCAAGTAAAGGCACCGAAAAAGTTCTGGAAGAATTACTAGAGGAAAACTTCCCAGGTATAATGATGAATGAGAGAATATGTATTCAAGAAGCTCAGTGAACACCTTATAGAATAGACCCAAAAGAAAAACACCAAGGCATATCATAGTTAAATTTGCCAGAACCAAAGATAAGGAGACAATCATGAAAGCAAGGACAGAGAAAAAGAGAGTAACCTAAACGGGAAAGCAGAAAAGATTAAGTGCCGATTTCTCAACAGAAAACATGTGAGCAAGAGACAGTGGAAGGACATATATCAAACACTCAAAGAACACAACTGTCAACCAAGAATACTGTATTGAGCAAAACTGTCCATTAGATATGAAGGAGAGATCAAGATATTGCCAGAAAAACAGAACCTAAGAGAGTTTGTAAAAAGAAGACCAGTGTTGCAGGAAACATTGAGAGATGTCCTCCTTATAGAGGTGCCACAGAAAGCAGGATGGACCAAAGTAACTAGCAATAACACCAAAAGAAACTCAACAAAATGATAACAATAAAACCCTGCCTTTCAATAATCACACTGAATGTGAACGGTTTGAAGAAAGAAAGCAGATTGGATAAAAAAACCAAAATCCATCAATATGTTGTCTATAAAAGACACACCTGAAAAACGGAGATAAAGACACACTGAAAATAAAAGGATGTGAAAAAATATACCAAGCAAATGGCAACCAGAAAAAAAGCAGTAGTAGAGATATTAATCTCTGATAAAAGAAATTTCAAGGCCAAAGGACAAGGAAAGTCACTACATAATGCTTAATGGGTCAACAGAACAAGAGAACATAACAATAATAAATATCTATGCACCAAAATGAAAAATATATTAAACAAACATTAACAAAACTGAAAAAGGAAATAGAGAAAACTACTGTAGTAGTTGGAGACTTCAATAAACCACTCTCAAGAAAAGCTAGAACTACCAGAAAAAAAAACTCAACAAAGATGCTCAAGAATTAAACCAAATAAAACAACTGGATCTCATAGATATTTTATAGGCTAATGCACCCAAAAAAACCCCCACAGTATACCTTCTTCTCCAACGTGCATGGAACATCCTCCAGAATAGACTAAATTTTAGGTTACAAGGCAAGCATCAATAAATTAAAAAACATAGATATAATACAAAACAATTTCTCAGATCATAATGCTACAAATTAGAAATTAATAACAGGAGGATAAAGGAGAAAAAATCCATACATTTGGAAGCTGAACAACACTCTGCTTGAACATGAGTGGATACTAGAAGAAATAAAAATGAAATTAAAAAGTTTCTTGAAACACATGACAATGAAAACACCACTTACCAAAATCTCTGGGAAACAGCCAAAGCAGTAAACAAACATATCAAAAGGCAGGAAAAAATGACCATTGACTCTTTAAGCTGGCATCTCCAGCAAATTTAAAAAGAACCGCAAGAAAACCTACACCGATCACTACAGCCTTCCTGTTTGCTACCACTGCAGCCTTCCCGTCTGCTACCACTGCAGGTACTGACTACAGTTCCCAGAGGTCTGTGGGGAAATGCCATCTTTGTAAACTTGGACTTTGCTGGGAGATCTGTGACTCAGCCTTCCTTTCTGCTACTACTGCAGCCTTCCTGTCTGCTATCACTGCAGCCTTCCTGTCTGCTACCACTGCAGGTACTGACTACAGTTCCCAGAGGTCTGTGAGGAAATGCCATCTTTGTAAACTTGGACTTTGCTGGGAGATCTGCAAGGACAGCAGAGGCAGTTCCAGGCCGGGGCTTGTGACCCAGACACGCCAAACCCATTTAGGCCCTCGGGCCAGGAAGACAATTATATTTGTCACATCTATAAGACTTATCAACCTCCCCTAAAATACTCATGTACCATTGAGGATTAAGTTACATGGGGAATCAAACTGGTTTCTGGCCTGAGTAC